GGGGGCGGGGCGGGGCGCGCTCTGCGCAGGCGCGGCCGCGGCCCTTTGTCTCCACGCGTGGCCTTTGTCCTCCTCCCGCCGGACCGCGGGTCCCCGCGACGCTTGGCTTTTGGTAGTTCACCAAGTCGCCCCAAAAACTATATGCAAAGGAGGATTTTTTTCTTCTGAATATCTTTGCCCTTTCTGCATGGTGTGCAGTGGGCACGTGGACTGTTGTGTCCTGCAAGGCATTGGGAAAGGTACGGAAAAGCGCAGGACGGAAACGCGCTGGACCATTCTGGAAGAACAGCTAAGCATCTGGTGGCCAGCTTTGCTCCAGAAGGGTAGCTGACTGAAAGGAGATCGAGTGTTCATCCTTGATCATATTGTAGCTGATGAGCTTTGTGCAACATGCAGATATATCGTAATTTTTTTTTTAATTTTAAGATAACACGACCCATTTCATTTTTTAAAAATCTAAAATGACCGTAACAATGGGGAGACTGTATTTGGGAGTGGAATTGCTGGGTCAGATGGTCACTCTAGGCTGACTTGGGGGCCCCACCAAGATTGATTTCCCTATCGACTGCACCATCTTGCATTCCACCAGCAAAACTTGGGGTTCCAGTTTCTCCACAGTTCAGCCTTGACTTTCCCAAGTAGCCTCCTGCTGGGTGTGCAGCGGTAGCTCAGGTAGCTACAGTTTCTTCGTTTTGCATCTCCCTAGTGACCAAGGCTATGGATCAGCTGCTTGGTTCGCAAGGTCGCAAGGTCGTTCCTCTTGATCTCAGCTCTCATTACTCCTCCTGCCTCTGCTCTGTTCAAGGCAGGTGCCTTCCTCCATTCCCTGCAGATCTGCACATTCTGTCCCTTTGTGTCCCCATCGGCCTGGAATGCTCTCTTCCCAGCTACCCGCACCGCTCCCTCCTCATCTCTCCAAACATCATCTTCTCATGCCACCTCCTGTCAATCTCTCCTGGGCACTTTAGACCCACAGTTTCTACTGTCTTTGTTCCCTAGCTTATGGCACTAGCTTTTTGCTATCTTGACCTGTCTCCTGTTTCCATCTCCTCCCTCAAAGTTTCCCCTGTTCATCCCACAAGCCCCCTGGCACTCAGCAAGTCTCACATCTTCCCTACACCTCACTCTCCCTCGCCCCCACCTAGGGTACAGCCGTGCCAGCCACCTGCCACACACCTGGGCAACATCATGTTCATCTCTCTCCCTTCCCACATAGCACCGGCCATGTCGCAACAAAATACCCCTTAGATTCATCCATTTCTCCCCATCTCGGCCCCCTCCATACAGCCCCCCCCATGTGCCCGAGCCTCCGGCTCCCTGAACTTCCACATAACATCCCAAGAGACTGTTCACATGTCCAACCGCCGCCGTCCTTGCTGAAGATTTGGCTTCAGGCAGCCTGTGAGCCCCCAAGCCCCACAGAGAGATACTTTCTGTAGCAGGGAAACTAGCCAGGGCCAGAGTGTGCAGAGAGCAGCGGCCTCGGGCGGAGAGTGCGCTGCTGCGTGCTGTGCAGTTTCCACGGCCTGGCAGCCACGAGGGCATTGCTGGGCCCCTGCCCTCTGCTAGACCTGCTGCAGGTCCCAGGATCAGCAGTGAGCCGGCGGGCAGTGGCCGCGCTCCCGCTGTCCTCCGGCGCCCAGCTAGGGCTGAGCGTGACCTTTCAGGAAGAGAGGAGAGCCGGCCTGGCCTGCACAGCGGCCTTGGGGCTGCTGCGGCTGCGGCTGCCTGGAGGCTCAGCCCTGCTTCTCCTGCTGCACGTAAACAAGACGCCACACCAGACAAGGCCGTTCTGTGACCACAGTGGGACAGACAAAACAAGCCCCCTCCCGTCGGCGCCCTGAACCCGGGCAAAAAGTGAACACTGTCCAGCCACAACAGTGACCACTCTCCTTGGCTCAGGTGAGTCCCGGCTGTCCTGTAGTCAACCCCGGCATTAGCCTTGGTTCATTCCTTAGATGTCCTCCTCCTCCTCCTCCTTTTTTTTTTTACATTTTGAAAGGCCGGATTTATTAGGAAAAGGAGAAATATGCAGAGAGGCACCTGGATAGTCACAGGTGGGCAGGAGAGGGATGACCGTAGACATCTTGATAAAAATAATTAAGATCCTTGATATTAGAATTTCCTCTCCCCCTTGCTTCTGATGGCAGCCAGGATCTACCTCAAGGGACCTCCTCTTCCCAGCAGGCAGGAGGGTTAGGCTGAAATCTAACCTGGTTTGTATCTGCCTGGCTGGACCAAAGTCCTTGGGGTGGGGGTGATGGCAGAGCTTAGGGGCAGGGGCTGGGATCTCAAAATAGTGGGCATAGCAATTTGCTCAGGCCCCCGGTAGTGCAGGTATTAAATCTCAGCACTATGAAGCTGTCCACAGCCCCTGCAGCAAGAGTTCGAACCCCACAGGGAGGGACCCCCAGGGCACAGCAGGCCTCTCCTATCTCGCCGCTGCTCCCCTCAGCAGTGTACTTCGTCCATCTGCCTGTTCTGCTCCCCACTCTGTCTCTGGTGAATCCGCTTTCCCCTTCCCCTCTGTCCTATACCTCGGCTCTTGTGTGCATAAATAAATAAATCTAAAAAAAACCCAATTCACTTAAATTTAGTAAATCCTGGAGATCCAAATACCGGGATTACAGACAACAAAACTATGTTATAAACATTAACTTTGCTAAGAGTCTAGTTCCAAGTTATTAAAAGAAATTATAAAATTGAAGACAATAAAATACAATAAAGCAAAGAAGAAAACAAAATTTTAATTAAAAAATGTGGAAGAAAAAACTAGAAAAATGACATTCTGTCATGTAACAAGTTATGTTACAGAGGCAATCGTGTAGTAATACAATGTATCAAAGCAGGATGTTGTACAGCTTTAAACTGACACAATGTTATATGCTGATTACCCCTCGATTTATTTTACTTTGTTTTAAAGATTCATTCACACAGAACTGGGGTACAGGCCAGAGGTGCAGGGGCAGTGAGAGGCTTCACCAGAGACAGAGTCGGGGGCAGGACAGGCGGATCCACTGAAATGCACTGCTGAGGGGAGCAGCAGGGAGACAGGAGGGGTCTCTGCGCCCTGGGGGTCAGCACCGGGCGGGGATCAAACTCCCACTGAAGCAGATGCAGCCAGCCTCCAGTGCTGCACCCCAACCCTTTGCGCCACCAGGGAGGGCCCACACCTCAAATTTTAAAAAGAAAGACTGATTTGGAGTATCCTCAACTGAGACAGCTCAACACTCTTCTATCTTTATTGCATCAGTTGTTTATGCAAGTTGATTTTTCCATTTAAAAAAGCTTATTGGGGTAAAACACACAATGTATTTGCCATGGTAACCACCAGAACGGTCAGTTCAGTAGCTACACGTAGCTGGCATGTTGCCAGGCCACGCCCACCCTCCGTCTGGAATGTTTTCACCTTCCCCAAATGAAACTGTCTCCATCAAGCACTAATTCCCCATTCCCTCCTTTACTGTTGTTGTTGTTGCTTTTTCTCAAGAAATAAAGTCACATTTCCAACACAGAGCAAAGCTCCTCAAACCCCCAGGACCCCGGAGCCCCCGAGCCCCACCTCCAAGTCGAGTCTGCGCCCTTCTGAGACGCGGCTCCTGCCAGCGGGAGGCCTGAGCTTCCAGCTACACGTGTGGTCCTGCTGGTCTGGCTGCGTCTCGTGCGTGGCCCTGAGGGTGCAGGGACTCAGAGAGTCGGCCCGTCCCGGCGGGCAGGTCTGGATGGAAACGAGCAGGAGAAAGTTGGGAAAGGGTAGCAGCCCACTCCAGCAGCCCATGGCATCAGGTCCCGCTGCTCCCTTCTGAAGCAGACATCTCCACGGGCCATTTTTCTCAATGACAAAGCAGACATGAGAAGCCAAGCCCGACTCCCTGAGGCTCTCGGGAGGCAGCCTGACCTCTCAGGAGGTCAGACCCACTGACCTCGGGCTTCTCGCCCAGCTGCCCGAGTTGCTGGAGGACCATTGTGACTGTGCCGCCAGGGGAAGCGATTTGAGTCACAATGAGCAGGGCTGGGCCACGCATGGCTGCAGCCTTGAAAGGAACATGTGATCATCCTCTGGGAGCCCAGGAACAGAAGCCTGGAGGGTCTGCTCCACACCAAGCTCAGTTCCTAGGAAGCATTAGCCCCATGGCATCCCTCGAGGTGGGTATGCGATCCTGGTTGCTGATGAGGAACTCGGTTACAGGGTAATGTGGCTAGTCTCGGCTGTCAGAGTCTCCCATAAGATAGTTGAAGCCTCCACTCTCAATATTTGATTTGGCAAATGGTCCTCAAAAAACATCAGATTTAGACATTGAAAAAAAATTGTTAAAACTCTTGATGTATGTTTCCTAGAGGTTGACACGAGCAAGTAGCTGCAGCTGGTGCGGAGCGTGTCCTGCAAGGAGTGAGACTGAGCCAGAGGTGCTGGTGACCAGCATTTATGAGGGGGCAGAGTGGAGGCTGGGGGAGACCAAGAGGGGGGAACCCCACCTGGTGGGGTGCTGGGAGCCCAGAGCTGAAGGTCCGAAAAGTGAATAGGAGGTGTGTAAGCCTCAGAGGGTTTGAAGACAGGAAAAGACCCAGGAGACTAATCAGGGCCCAGGACAATTGCAAAAGGCAGAAAGATGAGTGAGGAGGGGTTTGGCCCAGAAGAAACAGCAGTTAGGGTTAGACGAGGGGCAGAAGTGGGTCCCCAGACATGGCGGGAGAGACATGACCTTGAGGACCGAAAGAGGGTGAGGAGGGGGTTCCGTCATCAGACGAACTAGAACACGGGTTAAATTCTACTATGCTCAGCAGTGCGTGTTGCACCGACCACAGGGCCTTTGCACCTGCTGTTCCTTCCACCGGAAGAGCTAGTCCCCCAAGTACCCGATGTTCTTTGCCCACCTGTTTAGGTTGTTGCTTGATTATGAACTCAGTGATGCCTCCCATGGCCACACTATTTAAAACTGCAGCCGCCCCCAGCCCCCATCATAGTATTTTGTGTCTTATTCTGCAAATTAGTCACTGCTGTTTGTCACCTGCAAGACCCATCAATTCTACAAATGCGGGTTCTTGGTCTGTTTTAATATGGGCCCCTCCAAGGGCCTTCCACGGTACCTCGCCATTCCTGCGAGCAGCGCCCTGTTCCCCAGGGACATCGCACGGGGCCTCTGATGAGGTCTTGGCGGAGCAGGTGCAGGGGCTTGTTCTCGCAGGCACAGGCTCAGTCCTGTGTTTCGGCCTCTTTGCAGGTGGTGCCCCCTGCGGGGAGGGCCGCGGGCACCCCCCTACCGTGCCCGAAGTCCAGAATGGACTTCCTCAAGGCCTCTCACTTCATGTTGGGGCCCGACCCGCGCCTGAATTTGGGTGCCATGCACTCCACCTCGCACCGGGATTTCCCGAGCCACCCGGTCGCCACCCGCTCGCGGCCATGCCAGCAGCTGCGCTCGGCCCTCTTCCAGCTGGACCGGGCCTGGGCTGACAAGGAGCAGGGATCTGAGGCGCACAGAGCGTTTGTGCCCCCGCTGGCGACCGAGCAGTGGCGGGAGCAGGAGCGGGAGCTGGCGCGGGCACGCACGCGGGACATGCAGGCCAGCCACCTGCACCTCCACGCGGACGCGCGCGCCGGAACCGGCCTCCCGACCGTGCGCAGCGACTACGCTTGGGTTGAGCTGCCCGCGCGCGCCAGGGAGCGGATACGCGGCGCGCGCCTCATCTTCGACCGCGACTCCGTGCCACCCGGCGACCCGGCCAAGCTGCGCATCCCGCCCACCACGTACCAGGAGCAATTCCCGCCCCACGATTCGTGGCCTCAGCTTCGCACCCCCCGCGGTGAGCGCTCGCCAGGGGCTCTGTGGACGAGTTGTTCAACTCAGCGAGTCTCCGGCCTCGGGCACTGGCCATTCTGGTTTCGAGGCTTAGGAGGAGGTGGTGGGGTCAGATACACCGTACATCCCACCGTGCACAAGGACAACTCCCCACCGTCCAGTCCCAAACATGCACAGTGCGGAGGCTGAGAGGCCCTGGACTCTTGGGCCTCCATTTTTGCAACCACAGAGTGGGAACAAACAGCGCCTGACGCTCCCTGGTGCGCTGGGCAGAAGTAATGAATGCTGGTTTGGGCCAGGCAAGCCTGCTAAGTAGCCCCAACCCCAGCGCTGCTGTGTTAGTAACCAGCAGCCAGGGACCCTCCAGCCTGTTTCCTCATCTGGGAAATGGGCACAGTCAGGGGTCCCCGTCTCTAGGAGCTGGTGGCACAGCAGGAGCCCGGAGAACATACAGTGAGCGATTGTCCGACTGCGGCCCCAGGGCGCCTGCTGGCTGACCGCCCTAGGCAGAGCCCCTCCAGGCTACTCTCAGGGACTGTCAGACCTGGGTGTTGAGTCCTGGTTTTGCAATTTCTGTGTTTTCTCGAAAGTTTTGACTTCTTCAAAGTAGAGACTGTAAAATGGTGGTGGTGGGAGGAGATAATACAGCCTCCAGGGTGAGGTACATGGTCCAGTACTTACGCAGAAGATGTTATTGCTGTTTTTACTCCCAGGCAGTCCCCAGGCAAGGCTAGGCTAGTCAGGCAGAATCCCACCTCAGGGCCTCCCTCGCATGTAGGGGGTTGAGTCTCAGTGCTATCAAACTGTCACCAGCCACTGCAGCCTGAATTCAATCCCCGGCCAGGGAGGGACCCACAAGGCGCAGCAGACCCCTCCTGTCTCCCCGCTGCTCCCCTCAGCAGTGTGTTTGAGTCGATCCACCTGTTCTGCTCCCCACTCTGTCCCGGGTGAATCCTCTCACGCCCACACCTCTGTCCTACACCCCAGCTCCTGTATGCATAAGCAAAATAAATCTTAAAAAAAAAAAGATTTATTTGTGTCTACAGAACTGGGGTACAAGCCAGGGGTGCAGGGACGGTGAGAGGCTTCACCCGAGACAGAGCGGGGAGCAGAACAGGCAGATCAATGAAGTACACTGCTGAGGGGAGCAGCGGGCGGGCCAGGAGAGGTCTGCCGCGCCCTGTGGACACCTCTGGGAGTGGGGATCAAACTCACAATGAAGCGGATGCGCCTAGCTTTCAGCACTGCGTCCCAACTCGTTGCGCCACCAGGGAAGACCTAAAATGAATCTTTAAAAAAAAAAATCCCTGGCTGCAGGGAATCAATCCTGCTCTCTGTCCTTGTCACCATCCTCAGGGGGTCCCAATCCCCTCAAGTGGGACCAGAGAGGACAGGACAATGAGACTTCCTACCAGAGACAGTTCCAGGCTCTGCCAAGTCCACCAGCCTCCATGTGTAAGAGGGTAAATCGAGGCTGGGCTGTGTTGCTGGGGGGCAGTGATGGGGCCCCGGCGGCCTTGCCTTTCCGCCCCTCTCCCCCCGCAGGCCTCCTCCAGTGTGAAGATGGGAGACGTCAAGACTGGCTATGGGCCCGTGTGTTCTGAGCAGAAACAAGCCTACGGGCCTCAGGGCCTGCCCCCAGACAGGTACACAGGGCCGCAGCTTACGCCAAGGCAGACAAGGCTCCCACCAGGTGCCCGAGGCCCTCGGCCATCCTGTGCCAGAAGCTCCCCACCAGTCAAGGCAAGGCCCGCTGTTGGGCTGCCATCATTGTCGCCCCATTGCTTCCCATAGGGGAAGCCTGCCCCCACCCTTTTCTTGAGAGACTCAGAGCCCAGATCAGATGCCCTCCACACACCCCATCTGCAGTTATGACAAGGCCAAGGCATCCGCCAACACCCACTGTGTGAATATTCGCCCTGGAGATGGCCTCTTCCGCCACAGGACCAGCATGGCTGATCACTTCTATGCCCACGAGCCAGGTGGGAGCCTGCAGCCTGCACCCCCAACTCCCCTGGACCCCCCCACCCTGGCTTCCCAGTGGCTCTGTCATGAGCAGCCTCCCAGAGCCGCTCAGACCTGCCCTACCGCTGGCAGGGCCTTCTGTCCTTCACCACGACCAGACCCCACCATCACACATCCTGGAAGGGAACTGGCGCCCCGGGCCGGGCAGCCTGACCACTCTCACGCGCTTCTTCCACGGCCAGGTCAGCAGGAGGCCAGAGGGTGGCAGGCTCCTTGGGGTAAAGGGCTTCCGGGGCAGATCCGGCAAGGCCCCGAAGGGGGGGTGAGCATGACATTAATCACGGATCGCCTGATCTCGCCAAGAGCAGGCTCCGGACCGCTCACCTTCCCAGGGGCTCTGTCTGTACAGTGAGGCAGCGGTGGAGACTCCCGTGTCCTGAGGTGGGGCTGAGAGGGCGCGAATTACCAAAGTCATGGCGCCTGCTCCCCCTCCAACCTGGCCTCGGGACATCCCGCACCGGGAAACTTCTCAGATGTCCTGTGGTTCCACAGCCGCCACCCGCGACCTCGCCACCCAGCCGCCACCAGCCTCACGAGAAACTGCGGACGCACGTGGTCCTAGGCGAGCCCGCGCTGCGCAGCCAGTTCTTCCAGACCTCCGTGGGCACGGATTATTGCCCCCCTAGGACACAGCAGCTGGTGAAGGCTCTCAGCCTCCACCTGCAGCACAGCAACCTGCCCGAGGGCACAGGCGGTGAGG